CTGTCCCTCAGCTCTTCAGCTCAAGGCTAGCACTCTACCACTTGAGCCACAGCGCCACTTCCGGCTTTTTTTTTTCTTTTTGCTTATATGGTGCTGGGGAATCGAACCCAGGGCCTCAGGCATGCAAGGCAAGCGCTCTACCACTGAACCAACTTCCCAGCCCCACAACTAGTTTTCTTTAGGTCTATCCTCTATGACTTTTCTCTGGAAATAGCTTCAGTATTCCCAAAAGGCTATTAGAATCTCTTAGATTTATATGCTTCTTTATGCATTGAAACAAAGAGAAAGTCTATAAGCCAAAATTCCCAGCTAAAGTCTTGAGACTTAGTGGGTGCTGGTGGCTCACACCTGTAATCCTAGCTTCTCGGGAGGCTGAGATCTGAGGACCACAGTTTGAAGCCAGCCCAAACAAGAAAATCTGTGAGAGACTTATCTCCAACTAACTACCAAAGCCAGAAGTGAAGCTTTCACCCAAGTGGTGGAGTGCTAGCCTTGAGCACACAAGCTCAGGAATACAGTAGTGCCCAGGCCCTGAGTTCAAGCCCCAGGACAGGCATATACATAAAGGTATTCAGACTCATTTTGACTGGAGAGGCTCAGGAATGTTCTTGAGCCTCTATCTTCAGGAGGATGGGATGTGCTGATTGACATACATCCTACCTTTGGATCTGATAGTCTAGTTGGCACATGGATCCCAAGACAGAACTAGTGGAAGAAGGGAATGGATGTGGATGAGACAGTACAAATATCCCTACATACATTTCTGGTATTCTCCATTGAGCACAGGGCTAGGCACATAATTGGGGGAGCATAAACATCAGATGCCTCCAAATACCAGCCTCCTCCATGAATGTTCCAATACTCAGACAATCTCGACTTCTGTCCCCTTGGTCATCAGTGTCCACTCCCTACACTTGTGGTGGTCACTACATCTCTGTTCCTCAGTAGAGTCCTCTCTCTGTTGTGAAAATGCCCAGTGCCTTAGGTTATCTATTTTAAAGTATGATAAATTATTAAGAGTCCCTGGGCTCGACAGTGGCTCCCTCCTCCCCAGCCTAGTGCCTGGTGGAGGCAGCTAACAGCCCTGAGTCTCTGTGGTGTCAGCTCCTGGCTCACAGGTCCCGCCACCCCCACCTATGTCCATGAGGTCCTCCTACCATATTTTAATACCTCTTCTGGCAGTTGGGAGGACTGAGCTTCAGGAATTGAAGCCTTTCCCTCCTTCTTCCTCTCTTCAAAAAGAAAGGGAGAGACTATGTCAAGTCTCCTGTTGCACAGGCTCAGTGCCTGCATAATCTCAGTGTCCCCTGCTGGTTTGCATCCATGGTAACCTGCTTGGCACCCTGCTTGGCAACCAGGAATCTGTTGGGTTGAGGCCCTAAACTCTGTCGAAAGGTCAGAGGCTGGGACAAGGCTGAGGTGGAGGTCAAGTTTACAGGCGTGGGTAAGTCCTATGGGATCAATCTGTGGACTCGAGTGGCGGGGCGGTAACAAACAGGGCTCTGGAGGGCTAGCACAGTTGTGTTGTGGGTGGCAGCTATCCCCTGTGAACAAGTCCATGGAGGGGGATGGCCCTGAGATCTCAGCAGAGTTTGGGGCCAGAGTTTAGTCCTGTAGGTGGACTGGGTTAGGAGTGAGGTCTGTGGCTTGGGTTAGGGTTTGTGAGGAGAAGAATGGACTTGCCCCCAGGACACTTTGCCGCTGGGGAGAAGGAGGCAAAGCCTAATGAATATTGTGTTACTTATGCACCAGGTGTTTTCTATGACATCTCCTAAGCAGGTGCTTTAGAAGACGAGTGAGCACGCAGCCTAGAAGGACTTAAAGCAGGATTTCTCTAAAATTCACAGCGTCTGCTCTTTTAATCCCTCCCCTGCTTCCTGACCTGAGGTCTCTGAGGCAGATGATCTAAAGAGGAAACTCTGGGTGTCGGTGGGGGTGAGAGGCCTTGTCCGGATGCAGTTAACCCAGAGCTGAGCCCACCCACCTAGGCGCCCTCTGCTGGACTGTAGGCTGCAGCTCAGATAATGGTGATGCTTTTCCAGGTGGTTTCTCCTAAGGCCATGCAATCCTCCACTGATCCTGGGCTGCCTTTGCCCAAATACTGCAGTGTGGCCCGGATGCTGAAGGCCACTGACTTCAACTGCGCTGCTCTTCCCTGGGACCTCTCCTTCACTTGTCCCTTCGCCCTGCAGGCGCCCCAGCTCCCCAGGCACTACACTCTCACAAGGTACCAGCCTCTGCCCCCACCTTGCCCTTTTGCCTGTGTTCTTGCTTTTAAATGTGTTCTGTGAGAGGGCTACCTTGCTTCCTGGGAGGGCTGATGGGTCTCTACTGTTTGGCTTATAATTTATGTGGGTGTTTAAGCCTGTTAGCACCGACAACACCATACCCCCAGGGGATCTGGCTTTTGTCCCACTTGTAGCAGATTTGTGGCTGTCATAGCTGTGGGGGAAGGCAATCAGGGATGACCAACCATGAAGTTTCTAGCTGGTTTTGTTGTCAACTCTGATGCATGCTGTGGTACATAGGAAAAGTCAGGGTTTCTCCAACTCACAGCTAAGGTGGGGGCATTTATTCCATATGAATTCCAATGGTCATCAGGCTCAGAGTTTGTGAAGAATTGCTTACCCTCAGGGGTCGCTGGCACTGGAGGGGGCAGGAGAAGACAAACACCCCCATGTCCTGAGCTGCTTGTATGCCAGGTGCTTTTCAAACAGAGAGGCTAAGTGAGCTCACAACCATCAGACTCCCTAATCTGAAGCCTAAATGGCAGTTGAAGATTTTCAGCTGTCCACAATTTTCCCGAATAGTATTCTCAGTCAGCTGCCTAAAGTATGACTATAAGAGGAGAAGGAACGTCAGCCTGCAACACACAGAAATTACGTGAGTTTCAGGGAGCAGGTCCATGCTACTCATTTAATTCCGTTTTCTCAAGGAAGGGAAACATCACCTGAAATGATGGCTCTTAATTACTCCTTTTATATATGTGTTCGTGCATGTGGCACTGAGGTTTGAACTCAGGGTTTTTGTGCTAAATAGGCAGGTAGTCTAGCACTGAAGCCATACCTCCAGCCCCTTTTCTCTGGTTGTTTTTCAGATAGAGGCTCTTTTTTTTTTCCAAGCCTGAGCCAGACTAGACCATGATCCTTCTATTTATGTTTCCTGGTGTAGTTGGGATTAGGGACACATACTTCAGTGTTTACCTACTGGTTGGGGTAGGGACTTTTAGTCTGAGTTGGCCCCAAACTGTGATCCTCTTGATCACTGCCTCCCTTGTAGCTGGGGTGGCAGGTATAAGCCACCAGCATCCACTTTGCTCCTGTTGAAGGCAAAGTTAAGCATCTTTGTATTCATATTTGCTCACAAAATACTTTCTTCAAAATCCCAAGCCCTCCCACTTAGCTCTTCCAGTGGAAGCAGCCAGCAAGCCTTGTCCACATAATTCCCCAGAGCTAGTCTGTCCTTGGCTTGCTCTATAAACCCATAGTCAGCTGCTCTGTGCTGCTGACCCTGCTCCAGCACTTCCTCCTGTCTCCACAGTCAAGGGCTTTGCAGTTTTCTCCTTTAGTACTTTCATCCACACTTCTATGCTGCACCCTGGAATCTCACATACTGCCTGGGGAGTCATAGCCAGGCAGCTTTTCCTAGTTTCTTGTCGGGTCTCAAAGCAAGCTTTAATGAACTTAAATATTTCAGAATTAATTACATTTTGGATACCTTGAAACAAAACCCCCAATCCAAAACAAAACAAAACAAAAACAGTCTACTTTCCTGTCCTCACTTTCAACTGTTCCCACAAGTTTACTCCTCTTATGGTATGTAATAGATTGCCACATGGGTTTCTGTTGTTCATACACACTCTTATATGTCCCTTACATGATCATGGTGCTACTCAGATATGAGTGTGGAACAATTTGCTTGATGTCTTTAAGGGCTTGTGTTTCCTCCACTTAATTTCATGGTTTTTGTTTTGTTTTTTTGTCAGTTGTAGGGCTTGAACTCAGGGCCTGAGCACTGTCCCTGAGCCTCTTTGTGCTCAAGGATAGCTCTTTACCACTTGAGCCACAGCACCACTTCCAGTTTTTGAGTGGCTATTTGGAGATGAGTCTCATGGGGACTTTTCTGCCCGGGCTGGCTTTGAACTGTAATCCTCAGATCTCAACCTCCTGAAAAGCTAGGATTACAGGCATGAGCCATCAGGGCCTGGTTATTTTCATGTTTTAATTTTTTTTTCCAGGAAAGATTCTTATCATCCTGGTCTCCACATTGCTGACTCAGCACAACAGAGGCTCAGCCAGCCTGGAGAAATTGGAGACGCTGCTGGCACCTGGGTCCTGGCAAGAAGGTACCCTGATGGCTTTTATTACCTGGCTCAGATAAAAAGCACTCCAGAGGTAAGTCCCTGACTCCTAGCATCTCTCTGGTATGCTCCTCTGGATGGCTCTGTATTACCTGATTTATTGTAGGTGTCCAAAGGTTTGGTTGCTTGAGTAAAACCAGATCTTCCACAGCCAGGTTGTAGAAGTGAGAATGTAATATCAGTGAGATCATTACTTTGCTAGGGATGGATAACAAAGCATCACAAATGGAATAGTTTAAACAACAGAAATCTGTTGTTCCCCCCACTCCCTGGTGCTGGTCCTAGGGCTTGAACTCAGGGGCTAGGCACTATCCCTGAGCTTTTATGCTCAAGGATAGTGCTGTACCATTTCAGGCTTTGCTTTCGTTTCTTTTAGTAGTTAATTGGACATAAGAGACTTTCCTGCCCAGACTGGCTTTAAACTTTGATCCTCAGATCTCAGCTTCCTGAGCAGATAGACTTCAAAGGTGTGTATCCCATTCTTGAGGTTCTGAGTCCAGCTATTGGCTATGAGGAAGAATCTGTTCCATGCCCCTCTTCTAGCTTCAGTGTTTGCTGGTAATCTTTGTATGCCACTATATTGGGTTATGGGCCTGCCATGCTCATTATGACCTTACCCTGGTTTGGCCTGGAATGATTTCTCAAGGCAACATTATGAAGGCTATGCATATACATTTGGCAACAAGTGGGGAGGAAGCACAATTTAACCCATAACAGTGAAGAAAATGTATATTAAAAGTACTTTGGCTGGGCACCTATGGCTCATGCCTCTCTAATCCTAGTTACTCAGGAGGCTGAGATCTGAGGATGTGGTTCAAAGTCAGCCTAGGCAGGGAAGTCTGTGAGACTCTTAGTTCCCATTAAGCGCCAAAAAAGTAGAAGTGGAAAAACAAAACAAAAGCTAGAAGTGGAACTGTGGCTCAGGTGATAGAGCACTAACCTTAAGTGAAAAAGCTAATGTACAGTACCCAGGCTTAGAATACAAGTCCTAGTACTGGTATACACATACACAAAAAGTACTTTGGCTGGGCACTGTTGGCTCACATCTGTAATCTAAGCTACTCAGGCGACTGAATCCTGAGGATCATGGTTCAATGCCAGCCAGGGCAGAAAAGTTGTAAGAATCTTATCTCCAATAAACCAGCAAAAATCTGGAAATGAAGTCATGGCTCAAGCAGTAGAGTGGGCTTGAATAAAAAAGCCAAGCAAGAATGTGAGACCCTGGTTTCAAGTACCAGTACCAGCACTAAAAAACAAAACAAAGTATTTTGTTAGGAAAAACTCAGTTTGTTGAGTTACCACTGAGAAAGAGTAGTAGAATGTGCTTCCCACAGGTGTGTATGCTTCAAGAATAACTCAGCATTTATTCGTTCTTGCAGGCTAGGATTCAGGCTGGGGCTTTCATTCAGTGACTACTTAATTTCTTTGGACTTTTCAGAGTCAGATTATGTGCATATGGATCAGCAGAAGGAAGACTAATTCTCAAAAAATAAGAATTACAGCGAGGTATGATGGTGCATATTTGTAAACATAGCTACTTAGAAAGCAGAGATAGGAGGATCACAGTTCTAGGCCAATCTAGGCAAAAGCATGAATTCTGAAACACACTAAAATCAAAAGAATTGGGGTGAGCTGGGATGTAGCTCAGTGGCAAAGCGCTCGCCTAGCAAGTGCAACGTCCTGGGTTCGATCCTCAGTACTAAAAATGAAAAGACAAAAAAAAAATACAGTTAAAAAAAAGAATTGGGGTGTGGCTCAAATGAGAGAGCTTGAGGCCCTGAGTTCAATCTCCAATACCAAAAAGAAAAGAAAAGAGAGAAGCATTTTTTTCAGCTTAAAATGTAGTAGAAGGAAAGAAAAATAGAAAGAGAATGGCAAAGAAAGGCAGAGAGTGATAAACCAGAGATGGTGGTAGCAAGAAGAGATAGAATGGCAATAGTCCCATTGGCTGTTTATCTCCACTTTGACTGGCTTTGGGAGTATTTTTCCCCTCCCACCCTCATTCCTTCTTTTCAGGGTCCTCTTCATAATGGAGACTCAGAGCCTTATTCTGGAGCATTGGTTCTGGCTAATACCAAATTGTATTCTGCTTTCTTTCCCACACACAGGTGGAGAGGCGAGGGGCCCTGGTTGTGAAATTTGAGGCTCCCTTTGCCACAGGCCCAAAGCTGCAAGCCCAGTGGCAGAGTATAGTATTAGAAGAAGATGTCATTCGACTCTCACCATCTGTGGGATACTCAGTGCAACCTGGGGACAAGGTGCTGGCTTGCTGGGGGCCAGACCGACAGCGGTATGGCCCTGGCACTGTTCTCTCAGGCTTGGAGATGAGAGGAGGCTCACAGAGAGGTAAAGGAAGCTGCTCTAACCAATCCATCCCCAGGAGCCAGCCTAGTGATCAGGCCATAGCTGACAGAGCAATTGAAGAAAGAATTATTGGTCTGGGGTTGTGACACAGTGGCAGAGCACTTGTTTAGTATGCATGAAGCCCTAGGTTTGATCTCTAGCACTGTCAGAAAAAGGGGGAAAATTTAAAAAAAATTGTACACACCTGCTTGCATCTTAACCCTGGGGTGACAACAGATATAGGGTTTTTATCTTCCAAGTTATAACATTAACATTGTTTTCCTCTCTTTTGTGGTGATGGTTGAACTCAGGGCCTTGATGCTTGCTCGGCAGGTGCCCTACCACTGGGCCACATCCCTAGCCTTGTTTTTAAATCACAGAAAATAACCTAAAACTACTGCATCTATATTGGTTAGCAGAACTGCAGTATGGTGAGGTTATTCTGGGCTCATACAAGAACCCATCCCTCACCAAGCCCTCCTAGACATTTCTAGGATGCCAGGCAGCACAAATGTAATTCACAGAATGACAGGAGCTTTCTATTGAGGAAGCATTTGGCTTCACATGAAAAATGGGCCTCCTCTAGGCCATCTTATAGCCCAGAAGACAGGAAAGCTCTAGCAAGTCCATGCAGAAGTGGTGGTCAGCGTGACCCAGGTGACAGGGACCTTCCCATAGGCTCTTCCAGGAAGAGGGGGGCCTGTGAGGAGCAAGGCAGGTAGAGTAGAGGGATGGGGCTGAAGCTCTGGCTCTGGGGACAGGAGATCCCTCATCCTGAGAAGAGCTACTATAACAAAATGTTTCCCTTTTCTATTATATAGTATCACAGGAAGAAGAAATCATTGTTTACTTCTGGAATGGCATGACAGCTAAAGTGCCTGTAGATGGGGTCAAGCAAGTACCCCTCACAGTCTGGAAGAAGGCCATGGAGAGGCTGTATAAGCCTTGTATGAGGGAATACCCCGAACCCTTCTGGGCCCCTTGCTGTTCCCTGCTGAGGCCGGTCCCTGGATGCCTCACCAATGGGCCTCCTGCAGACACTCTGTTTCTGTGCCCTTCATGCCACCCCCGTGCCTGCTGCCAGCAACTGTACCAGGGTTGCCTTTGCCAGTGCCCCTTGGCAGGCCCTACCTGGTGGCCTCTAACTAGGACGTCGGAGATCACAGCTAGAGAAGTCCCAGAATCAGAGCTGAAGCCCACAGCACAGCTCTTATCTCTAGAGAGTCCCAAAGATGAGGCAGAAGCAGAGTATGCTCCCATGGCTCTTCTGTCCTTGTCTTCTTCTTCCATTGAAGAAGAGGATTCTGAGAATAATCTGGAGACAGGCCTTTCCCAGAGACTCATGGTAAACAGAGCAGTCAACACTGACTCCATCCTTCCTGCCAAGTCTGTGAGGCAAAGTGGCCCCTGCCAGCCCCCATGGAGGTACTGGAGAAGAAATGGGCCTGAGCCAGGTTTGGGGAAACCAGGTAAATAAGAAGGGCATGGCTATCTTCCGAGGCCAAGGCTGCCGTCTCCCTTCTATGTGGCCCTTAGGAATCTGATGCACCTGTGCTGTATTCGGGCTCAGATGTAATAACTGAGAGCTGGTCATATGAAAAGGGTGGCTGGGAAAAGTGATAGGCTTCCATTTAAGCTCTGACAAAAAGGGAAGGATAATCTGGCCTTTGTGCTCAGACAGGGCACTGCCCTCTCTGTTTATGCTCTCTCCTCCCCATCTCGAAGGCTTCGATTTTTTTTCTTTAAAGGATGCAATGAGTTAGTCAATTCAGTGTCTTGCAAAGCACAGAACTGCTGCTTAAACAATGGCCAGAAGGCTGCACTATCCAGAGGGACCTCTTAGTAGGCTGGAGTGGGAAGACCAAGACCTGCCTGAAGCTACTTTATGAGCCACAAGGGAACTGAGCTGCTTTGCTGTTGGCAGTCTGCAGCCATCCTCATGTTTCTTTACATCGAATAGAGGACCACGGAACTAACACGGCTTAGTAGGTTCTGGGAGTAGCCTATGTGTGCCTTACAGCCATCCCAGCTCTCAGAAAACAGCCCTTTCAAGTAACTGCTGCCACGGCTTACCAATGGGGCCCAGAAAGAGCAGAAGTCTAGGTCAGATGGCAAAGAAGAATGAAGAAGGTGGTCTGAATAAAGCCCAGCCCTCAGGGCCCCAGGCACTGATTTATATTCAAGGAAAGGGCATCTGGGGATGGCATGGTGTGAGTGCTAAGAACACCATGGCTAAGTGTATAAGAGTGTCAACCCTGGGATCCACTCTGAATCAGTCACACAAACCCATTGCAAGTTGTAGTTTTTGTTTTGTGGGGGGTAGGGGAGCATATGATCATGCTTGTGCCATTATTTGGGCTTAAACTCAGGGCTGCCTCCTCTCCCTTGGCTTTTTCATTCAAGGTTGGTGCTCTACCATTTGAGCCACAACTTTACGTCTGGCTCTTTCCAGGTTAATCAGAGGTAAGAGTCTCACAGACTTTTTTCTTCAGGCTGGTTTTGAACTATGATTCTCAGTTCTCAGTCTCCTAAGTGTAAGGTCCGCTCCTGGATGGCGAGCAGACCCTACCCTCCTCCTAGCAAAGTCTCCACCCAGTACCTGCATTACCTAGGCAACTGGCATACCTGGAAGAGGTCACATCTGCATCCGCTGAGGTCACATCTGAATTTGATGTGGCCACACCTTTCTCCGTCCATACCCTAGATAAGACCTAGCCCAGGCCCAGACGCTCTCTTTCCCAGCTCTCTCTCTTTCCCAGCTCTCTCTCTTTCCCAGCTCTTTCCCACCACGATTGCCTGGTGCCAGCCAGAATGATGAATAAACCTACCCCTTTCCTGAATGCCACGTGCGTGGTGCTGTTCTTACTCAGCTACCTCTTTTTAAAAACCTAACACTAAGTAGCTAAGATTACAGGTGAGAGGCACCCACTCCACTGCAAGTTCTTGTTTGAAGCTACTGCCCTGTTTCTAGGACAGCTGCTCAGCAGGAGGTCTGCTCAGCCCATGATGACTTCACTTTTTTCCTGGGGGTAAAGATTTACTAGTTTTCAGTTCCATAAAATGGAGTACTTGTTTTATTTTACTTATTTATTTTTACCAGTCCTGGGGCTTGAACTCAGGGCCGTGGCACTGTCCCTGAGCTTCTTTTGCTCAAGGCTAGTACTTTAGGACATGAGCCATAATGCCACTTCCGGCTTTTTCTGTTTCTGAGGTACTGAGGAATTGAACCCAGAGCTTCATGCATGCTGGGCAAGCACTCTACCACTAAGCCACATTCCCAGCCTGGAAGACTCATTTTAAAAGTGAGAAACTTTGGGCTGGGAAGGTGGCTCAGTGGTAGAGCGCTTGCCTTGCATGCATGAGGCCCTGGGTTCAATTCCTCATAAGCAAAAAGAAAAAAGCCGGAAGTGGCGCTGTGGCTCAAGTGGTAGAGCGCTAGCCTTGAGCTGAAGAGCTGAGGGATAGCACCCTGGCCCAGAGTTCAGGCCCCATGACCGGATCAAAAAAAAAAAAGTGAGAAACTTTCTTGGGTGGTTCCTCTGGACTGCTGAGCTTTAGTATGCATTGTTTTTTTTTGTTTTTTTTTTTT